AGGCAGCAGAAATGCAACTGCGACGGGAAAAGGGGCTGTGCTTTACTTGCGACGATAAATTATCATGGAAGCACAAATGTCCGAATCGCCAATACATGATTCTGCAGGTGGATGAACCGGATGGCGATGTTTCCTCCTCTGTTGTCGCCGAACCTGTTCCACCGGATCTTCCGTCGGATGATTCTCCAACTTTGCATCATTTGTCATTACAAGCTTATCATGGCACTTCTGGCAAATGTACTATCTACTTTTCTGGGTCGATTGCAGGCACCACCGTGCGCATTCTTCTCGATGGTGGCAGTTCTGACAACTTAATTCAGATGGAGAAGATTCCAAAAAGGAAATCTCAATCCAATCGCTGGGTGAATAACGAGTGGGACCGGTTGGATCCAACTGCGACCCATATTGGTAAATGTTCAGCTGATGCTTCAGAAAAAAATTAGATATCCATCACTCTAGCACACCGCTTTCCTATTCCGACTAAGCAGCCCGGTGTGCATAAGCAAAACCAGAACGCCTCAAATAAAAGCATTCTAGTTGGAAGAGAGGAGGTAAGGGTTGTCCTTACAAATGAAATGGGAATGGGGAAACTTTTTCATTCAGCACGGTGTATAGCCTATATAAGATAAGGAGCGAAGCGCTGCTCACGTTAAAGCTACTGTGTTGACTGTAACTACACTACAAGAATTTTAATTGAGCTCCCAAAACAAAAGCAATTCTAGCACAAGAGCCATAGAACCTTTTATTAAAAAGGAGAAGTAAAGAGCTGGGTTTTCAGCTCATAGCGGTTGGCCCTGGCTCAAAAGGAAGAGTTAGCTTATCCGGACCGGGAGGAATTTATCCCCAAAAGGGGCACAGCACATCTACAGGCCTTTCCACAATCCCTCTGCGTGTGATTTTTCGAAGATTTGAGGCGCCCTATCTGGCATAGCGTCTCCCGCCCCCCAAAAGCGGGGGCTCAGAGAAGCGGTTCCTTCCTCTCATGCTTAGGAATTTACAAGGAAATCGATCAAATGACCAAGTTGCAAGACCGGGAATGAGCTTTACAACCAGGTTCCCAGTTCTAGCACTAAAAGGATCAGGAAAAGCAGAAGTATGGGCTTCCAGTCACACTTGATAAAAACGATAAGAAGTTGGAGATCAACCAGCTACTATCTTATACTTATCTAGGATCTTTTCAGATCTTTCTTGAAAAGCCGGTCCGATTTAAGTTGAAGTAAATTCACGGTATCCGGGATGGTAAGGGGAAGAAAGAGTTGGCGATCTTCACTCGTCCATCACTCCCACTTGAAGTGAAGAGGTAGTAGGAGCATGAGATGAGGGCTCACATTCGATGACAGATACAGATACGAGATGGGATGTCTACTAAGGAAGCAATAACCCCAGGAATTGAGTTCTTATGGGGGAGAGTGAAGACTATGACTGGTAGGGCCCCCTCTTGTAGTTGTACTTGTACTGCGGGGTTGGTTTTTTGCTTAGCTGCCTGTCCCACATCCCTTTCTTGGGCACAGTCAAAGACCTTGCAACTAAGGGCTTCAAGCCTATGCTAAGAGAGTAAGGTTCCTGTCTCGATCCTTTTTCTTTCTTTTATTTTCAGCAAGCATTTTTAAAAAGTAACAATTCAATTTATTAAGTTTGGTTTAGGAAAACTTGCTAGTCGCGGATTAGTGCGTTCTGCGCCGCCGGCGGCGCAGGTTTCTCTCTCTGGTTGAGGCTGCATTCTTTTATTAAACTTTACACGTGGGAAGGGCTTACTCTCCTAGTGGCTCGGCTTGGTCTCGCTCCCTTCCAGCACTATTCCTCCCCACTAAAAAGAGCTATTTATAATCTCGATAACCTTTCTTTCTGAACGCAAGACTACCCCTCTTCCCGAAAGCTTCGCGGGGAGATTTGAAATGGCCGTACTGTACTGGTTGGACGATGGCACAGTACGCAGGACCCTCGTATGAAACCCCACTGAGCTTCCTTGCACTATGTGGAACGGACTATTCTCGGATTGGACACGCCTATAGCTAAAGGAACGTACAGCGAGCCGTAGCGGGAGGGAGGCCAATGTCCCGTCAGATACCACGGCCCACGGGCAAGCCAGCGACCTTCACCTCCCGCAAGTCCCTTCGGTCTCCTTTAGCTCTGGTGGGCGTGGTTCTGTAGTTCTTCTGGCCTTCCTTCATGTCGTAGCCTTAGCTTATCGACGGGTCTTGCAATACATACAGCATTTTCTTTGACTCATGCCTTGGAGAAGAACGTTCTTTGTTTGAGTTTGAAGTCGTTACCTTGCGGGAGCCACCTGGGCGAGACCCTTATCTCCTTTTTGATTTCCATCCATATATATGGTATGTTGAATCACTTGTGAAGTCGACTTTACTTGCCCGTGTCTGCTTCAACTTCACCCTAGACTCGTGTCGTGTAGCAAGACTAACAAGTGGTCGAGTGAATTTATGAACGAACGAGCAACTATTATAAAAAAAGCAATACCTTTCTTATTTTTTGATTCTTCCTT